AGGGGGGGGGGGGGGGGGTTGGGAGGGCGTCCTATTGTGAAGAGACAGCTAAGAGGAGGCAGAGGGCAAAGTGAACGCATCGTGAAGATGGCCTGCTTACTATCCAGATCAAGTTTGTACGTGCTAGGTACCTAGTACTAGGTATATTATATCTACCTAGCTGGTAGTTACGTAGGACTCGGTCCATCCGTCACTCACTCACTCACTCACTCACTCACTCACTCACTCACTACGAGGCAGTGTAGATGATCCCCAAATGGACATTTCTTTTATTTATTTATCTGTAATCCTGGGTGATCTCCCAGCGCCGTTAACGATTTCTCAGATATGTATTGTGATACAATTGTGTGTGGTGTGGTTTACATGATTCGGGTAATTGATCTGATCCAGACCAAAGCTCGTAGGCACCGTGCTTTGCTTGGGGATCTACGCAAGATCCTTTAGGCCTTGAGGCTGTGATTCTGTATTTCGTCCCACGGTGTTTCGCTTGCGCTTCGGCTTCGGCTCTGCTCTGCTCGTACACTCGTGCTTTTGTGGTGGATCGATATTTGATATGGCTTCAGCTGGGAGAGATGGTTGGCGTGGAGATATCGGGTGAGATTTGGCGCAGGTTGGCTGTGCTCATGATCTAGGGCCTTGTAAGCCTTTCGTTCTCTTTCTCTTTTCCGCACCTCCTTTACATGGGTCTCTTGTATATAGCGTCTCTGTTGCCATTTCGCAGTGAACACACATCTATCCTCGACGCCGCCCTCCAAATCCTTTCATTCCTCTCATTCCGTTCCAACCCAAGGCCATCCTTTTTGAGGACGAAAACCCAAACCATACACCGTGCTTGATTCCACCGCTCAGAGCATATCTGCCTTTTTTAGTTCTGGTCATCACACCCTTCCCGTCTCACCGAGTCTCCTCGCCCACAGCTGCCGGGGGTTTGACAGCACCGACGCCGGCCTTCTCGTCCCTCAGCTCCCCATTCAACTTGTCGTCACCCTGCGCGTTGACCTCGAGGAAGTGGTACAGCACAATCATCAGCATGGCCGCGCTGCCGAGGAAGATGGCCAGGCTGTACAGCTGGGCGTCTGTGATCATGTTTTTATCTTCTCCTTTTCCCAGTCTCCGATCAGGGGTTCTGTTCTCTTGGCTTGGTTATGTGATCTCTTTCGTTTCTCGAGGTGTGGTTTGTCGCACAGCTCAGCTGGACACGGGGTCGGTGAAGGTGTAGTGGGTAAGGTCAAGACTTGGAATGCTGTCGTAGGAGTATCGCTCGGATTTTATTCAGGTGTTATCTTGCGTTCGGAGGGCGTGGACAACAGGCGTATGAGTTGCAGTTGGCGACGGATCGTGAGAGGTATTCTGGGTCAGACTTGTAGGAAGGCACCGAGCTCACACGGAATGACTGCGAAAGGGTGTCCTGGATCCTTTTCAAGGGAGTGAATATGATCCGTTGTCTTGTCGTTCGATTATGTCTCACGGTACGTTGGAGCGAAGAAATTCTGTCTGAGACAGCACATACAGTAAGTGAGGAAAGCATTGCGGGCAGGGGCAGCGTGGCCATTGAACATTGAAGACAAGGGTCGCTTGCTGATTGGTCAGCCTCGTCTATCAACTTGGCCCGCAAACTTGCCAAGCCAAATCCTATATGAGGGAGCGCGATGCCAGCCTTGTATGAGTACCAACCTACCAACGAGCCTACGAGCCTAGTATCTGGTAACCCTCACTTGTTATGAAAAGGGGACTACGCCGCATCGCCTGCTTCTCGTACATAACAGGTTCTATTGGCATTCTCATCTGTCTCGAATCGGCCATTGTTCCTACGACCTTTGCGGCAGAAAAGATGTGCAAGTTTCCAAGGAGGATCTACGTATTGCACACCTAAAAGACACTAAGACGGCGAAAGAACAAGAAGGCAGGTGTCGTCAATGCTGGTGACAGATATCATGTTAGGTATCTCAGGGCTGCTCAGGTCGTCTAAGGGTCAGGGTTCACTTGGTGCCTAATTCAAACTGCACATGTTACGGAGCTAACCCTTTGAGCATATTCAACCGTCGTGCTGTCCGTATTCAAGCAGAGGTCGAAAGGCATTGGTATTCGTCACAGATGGCTCTGTGCCCGAGAACAATCAGTCCCAGTTATCGACGCGGCCAACTTCTGGAGTTCTGGGACGTGATTGGTGTAGACGCCCCGAGGAGTTGCGTGGTATTTCTTACACAGATGTGCCGCCGCGGCCGTCGCAATGGCATGCTGGCCCCCGTTGCCCATGAACTTTGTGTTTGACGACGCGACATGCGTGGCGCTCATGTGTTTGCCTGCCATCATCAGATTCGAGACGTTGGTCGAATAGAGGCACCGGAACGGAATGTCGTAGGGTTTCCCGTCCCTCTCGTCCCATTCCCACCAGCGGAGCCGGAAATCGTATTTGTCGTCGCCGGGGTAGTGCAGGCAGAACGCCCCCTCGTTCTGCACCACGGCATCATGGAATCGCCGGTGGCTGCGAATGTCGTTCTCCGTGAGGACGTGGTCTCCCTTGTACCTCCGGAACTCGCCCTGCGCGGGGACATAGGCGACCCAGTCGAACTCGAGGTTGGCGTAGGTCTTGGGGTCCTTTGTCTTGACGTTAGAAAAGGTGCCGTAGATGGCACGCAGGAGGAAGTCGCGGATATGCTCGCCCTGGGTGTAGGAGTCGAGCCACTGGCCGTACTCCCAAAAGTGCGTCAATGGCCTCGTCATTCGTCTGGGGACTTTTGGTTGGGATGCAGGGTTGGCCGGCGCGATGGCAGGGCCTGGACCGTTTTCAATGCCAGGCTTCGTCAGCTGGCCGCCGAGATTGGAGAAGTCCTTGGCCACCTCTGTAGCCCACGGGACGTGCGGGAAGGATGAGGGCGCGTCTGCCATGCGTGTGCGGAAGAACACAGTGTTGCCGTGGTGCATGGCGTTGCCATCCACGGGGGCGAGCTTCTCGCCATACTCGGCCTGCGATTCCTGCCCGAAGAGCGTCTCTGCGCCGGAGAGCAGTCCAACGATGGCTTTGCCGGAGCAATCAATGAAGATCGGCGCCGTCAAGCGCACCTCGCGGCCACTGCGGGCGTGGCGGGCGTCCACGGAGATGATGGTCGATTCGCGTTTCACCACGTTGTAGACCGCGTGTTCCAGGAAGACTGTGGCGTTCGCTTCCGCCTCGAGCAAATCTCTGGCGCAGATGTCGCCGCCGGGTTTGCGCTCTGAGATCTCGTCGATCAGCAGGCCCGTCACTCCACGTGGTCGAAGTCCGATTTCCACGCTGGCGTTGCCCCCAAGATAAGGCCGATCATGGACCAGCGCAACACGGTCTCCGAAGCGGGCTACCGTCAGAGCAGCAGCCACTCCAGGCACACCACCCCCAACCACGACGACGTCGAAGGTGCCCCCATCGACCGGATCCTGTGGCAGTCCACGGAACCGACGTCTCCAAGCGCGAGTCTGTTCGTCAACAGCCCCTGGCGGCGGGATGTCGTCGCGACTGAAGAAGACGGCATCACAACGTCCGCAGAATCCCGTCAAGTCGTGGAGCGCCAGCCTCGTTGCGCCCGCTGCAAGTTTCACCTTTCCCGCAAATTGCCAGGACCAGTCGAGATCGTTCGCCCCGAAGACGGTGTCCACGGTGCTCCCGTTGACCGCGAGCGTGAACCTGCCTGGATGGTGGCCGGGGACCCAGTCTTTGGCACGCACCCAGACGTTGTACTCGCCCGCGTGTGGGACGGAGATCGTCGTCGTGGCGTCCGCGACCGGTCGACCATTCCCGTGCGCCAACAGGTAAGGCGAGCCCATCTCCAGGTCGAACTGTGCGTCGAGGACCCAGCCTCCGTAGTCGTCAAAGTCCTCGGCTTCGACCAAGATGCCTGATTCTAGGAATTTCTTCATCTTCATTTGGTCAGTCGCGCGGGCCGGTCCTCCCAGTTCGAGATGGAATGGGGCTAAGTATTGCTGACCTCGAGCGTCGTGTGTCAATCAGCTCCGCATTTCACGACCTCTTCTCGCCGCTGCCCGAGAAATGAGAAATACCCCGAGTCCTGTCCCTAGTGCGTAATCCCCCATTAACAGGGACACTGTTCCAGCGAACCCAAAAAAAAAACAGGCGTTATATATGACCAGGTTGAGTTATCGTCATCATCATCATCGAAAGCGAGGAGTGATGCCGTTTGAATTTCCCAACATACATACACTCACAGCGAGAGAGAGAGAGAGAGAGAGAGAGAGAGAGAGAGAGAGAGAGAGAGAGGCACGCACAAAAGAAAAGGGTTTCTCCAGTCCACGACGCGTTTGCCGTACTAATCATTAGAACGTATGTGATATTCCTCCCATCTACAAAATTACTCGATGATTACTATTTGCCCTCACGATGCAACTGCTCACCCAAATCATCGACCTCGGCTATAACCTCCCGAGATCAGTCCGTCCGGCCAAATCTGGAGAAAACCTGTAGTTAGGTGGCAAGGGATGGCGGAATTTTGTTGTGTACGAATTTCTAGGACATTTTTTTGTTTGGGATGAGTTTTGGTGGGCCAAGGATAATATTATCTACCGTATCTGAATGACTGTATATCCCATTCATTACGTACTGTATAATACTCGAATCGTGCCCCAAAATTGGCGTGTGCCCTCGTAATACAGTAAATTGGTACGGTGAGGCTAAGCGGGCGGAAAGGGGGAATGGCGGGTGGTCCGGCTTGCTGGGCAAGCATCAAAGTATAGTCAGTAATAATCGACTTTGTACTTCTACCAGTGAAACCTCCTCTTCCCTCTTCTTGCCACCCTCTGGAGTAAAGTAGAGTAGATTCGAGCTCGCCCTTGTTGTGCTGAGAGATCTGGGTCCGGATCTGATCGGGGGAAAAAGTCGTCCCATTCCATCGGTCGGTCAGACAACACCGGACGACCCCTCGTCTCTGGAGCTCCTTGACAGGCTGGGCACTGGGCCACTCTAGTGCCTGATCTGCACCGCGATTCGGTTCGTCATGAACTTTGAGATATCGCCGATCAAGAGACACCCGATGATGGACAGCACTCCGAACGGGATGCTGACATACCACACGTAGGACAAGGCGTCCGAGTACGCCCAGCGGCTGCCGATGGTCGCGGCCTGGACAATCGCCGGCGTGACGCCCGCGACGGCGGTGGCGTTTGCCGGGACGGTGAGAAACGTCTGGACGAACGTCGCGGCCGAGGACTCGGGGAGACCGGCGTCGAGGGCAAAGGCCAGGACCCGCTCGGGGAGCTTCTTGGCCAGCTTCTCGCTGAAGACATTGTAGTAGATGGAATAGCCGATGGAGCCGCCGACGAAGCGGATGGTGAGCGTCAGTGCCGTCGCCGTGGCGATCAGCGAGTCGGGGCACGCGGTCATGGCAATCGTCGCCGAGGGGACAATGACGCCGCCGATTCCGAACCCTGCAACTGTGGCCAGACCCACGGCAAGTCCGGCGTTGTTTGGAGTCACCACAGCCATGCTGCCAGTGAAAGCAGCTGAGAGAGAAAAAGTCTGTTAGTGTCGCGTGTCGCGTACGTGCAATGATCACGCGGGTTCCACTTACTCATGAGGACGCAGGAGGTCAGAAGGAGCTCACGATTGTTCCCTTTCAGGATGGTGAGCAGGGCGTTCATCACTGACGCACCGACGGTGATGGCGATCGAGTAGCCGAGACCCTTGACGCCAACTTTAATCGGACTGCGAAAGAGTTAGTACAGTCTCGAGAGTAGACTGCAGGGGTCCCACATACTCAGGGTCATAGACCGTGCCGTATGTCAGAGGAGCAAAGTTGATCATCGAGTAGAAATTCATGCCCGACACAAAGGCCACTGCGAGCGCGATGGCCACGACTCGCTGGCCGGCAAAGAGATCCCTCGGGACCATGGGATATGTGGCACCTTTCCACTCCCACATGACGAAGCCGAAGATGAGCGCCGCGCCAATGAACAGCATGCACAGGACGTATGCACTCTTCCACGGGTGACTTGAGCCGCCTGACTGTAGCGCAACGAGACTTCACACAGTTAGCGAGGTCTCACCGAGCCATCACTGGGAAACAGCTTACAATAGGATCACCCCGGTTATGGAGAGGAAGGCACCGACATAGTCGACTCTCTTGGCGATTTCCATCCGGGTCAGAGTGCCCTTGCGAAGAATGTGCGAATCTGGGAAATAGAAAAGGAGGACTCCGACGAAGAAGACGGCGTTGTAGATGCTTGGAGCTGGTCAGCACAAGGGTCTTCAGACAAAGTCTCCAGTTGTTCTTACAAGGTAATCCACAGACCCCATCGCCAGGTCGAGTTGGCAGAGAGCAACTGGGCGTACAAGACGTATGGGAAGAAAGGGCCTTGAGGTATAGTCAGTCGGTGTCCAAAAGGATTTTGGTCTCGAGCCAGAAAATCCACTCACAGATGAAAAAAGTGACGCATGCAAGATAGATGCCACGCTTCTTGACGGGGACCAGCTCCGCAGTGCTAGAAGAGGCTCAATGTTAGAGAATGACCTGCTTCGCAGCCTTTTTCGAAACCGCACTCACCCAGCCAGCGCCGTAAGCTCTCCAATGGCAGCACCGCCGCCCGCAACGGCCATGCCGGCAACTCCTTGACCAAATGTCTTTGCTGTTGCGGTGACGATGAGGCCAACCAGGATCATGACGCAGCCCAGGATGGAGATATTCCGTTTGCCGAACATGTCTTGGAGGTAGCCACAGAATGGACAGACGGCAGCGAGAGCCAGGGAGTTGGCGACGGTGAGCCAGCCAGTCGAGGCTGAGCCCAAGTCGGCGGCGATGTAGCTGAGCGAGCCTGCCGCTCGTTAGTGCCTCTGAACAAAGGGGGAGAGAGTGTGTCCGAGAGTTGTACCTCCGACGAAGTAGAGAGGAATTTGCGACCCTATAAAGTCGTCTCTGTCAGCGAGCTGTCCCGAATCTTTGGGTGTGTCTGTCGCAACGTGCTAACTTACCTACGTATACGCCACACAGCGAGATGGTGGCAACGATCTGCTTCCACGTCCAGTTGACATGTCCGTCAGAGTCGTCGCCTTTGGCGACCCGGTCCCTTTCATCTTTCACTTCGACGACGAGTTCGCATCGTGTGACAGACGGGTCGTCTTTCTCCTCGATCCTAGACTCGACGTCTTGCTGGCTGCCCATTGTTGTGAGAGAATGGCTCACCGTTCAGCAAATTTCTTGGTGTTGATAGTGCTAGCCTGTTCGAGAGAGAGAGGGATGGGAGTGTTAGAGGTCGAGATATGCCCATATTCTGGGATGGTCCACGTGTATAAGTACATTTCGGTCCAAGCCCTCACCTTGTCGACGCATGTTGTCCCTGGCTTCCCCCATGGGGTCAAGCCCCGGCCATAGTTTTTAGGAGGCCTGAGCTCTGGACCGAGAGGCTGGAGCATGATGGGGACAGACAAAAGCCTGGGATCCACCCCAGTAGACACCGATTGTGCATAAATCATCAATTGAAAATTGTGGTTCTCAGGGTAAAGGCCCTGGACATTTTGGGTTGCCTAAGCGCACAAGATTTGACCTCCGGGGGGGCAATTTCTCTGAAGTCTACCACTGACCAATCATATATAACACGCAATATCATTGTTCCGCTCCGATACTGCTGCAACCAACGAAATCTAACAAAGTGGATCGAGTCAGAAGTGACTGACACGAGGTGCCATATTCAGCTCGAGGCGATCGACAGTGAAATGGCTGACAAAACCCCCAGGCTCCTTCTCCACCGCTGACAGTGAAAAGGCTCACTGGTCCCCCTTCCCCACAAACCATGTGGCTCCTCAGTTGTCCCAGATCTGACGTTCCGAGGTATTGCTACGAAGCACTCTTCCTCTTTCGTATGTGACTCGAGTCAGTGTCATTCCGATCCTGCTCATGCATTTCAGCATGGGGTTACAAATATATCACTGACCGGTTGTGTCGGTCGCTCGTCTGTCCCCTAGGTTTCCGGGGTTAGAACGCATTTAGCGCGGACGGACGGACAGAACAGGGAATTTGATAAGCGACATCACCGAGAAATGGCCAGCTTTACAGGGAAAAACATCGTCGTGACTGGGTCAGCCTCAGGAATTGGCCTCGCCATCACGCTGACTCTTGCACAGCGAGGCGCCGTGGTCTGGACGGTGGATCTATCCCAATCTCCCCCGGATGAGCTGAAGCCATGGATTGAGAAGGGACAAGTGCACTTTCAAGGCGGCATCGACGTGGGTGACAGAGAAACATGTCGGACGTACATGGCCAAGGTCGTCTCAACAGCGGGCAGGATAGACGGTCTTGTCAATAACGCCGGCATCGGGCTGGCTGAAGGCCCTATCGCCTCTGATGAGGCATACGACCGAATGATCCACGTCAATATCGGCGGCGTGTGGAACTACGGCACCGCTGCTCTCCGGGCCATGCAAGAGCAAGAGCCGCAAGGTGAATTTGGCTCGCGAGGCAACATCGTCAACATTGCCAGCGGAGCGGGACTGAGGGGTGTCAGCGGGCTCGCCGTCTACTGTGCTACGAAACACGCGGTGATCGGGCTGTCGCGCGCGTGGCAGGAAGACTTTGGAAAGTTTGGCATTCGAACGAACTCTGTCGCCCCAGGTATGTTTGACCCCTTTTGATTCTTGGGGGGGACATTCTATCTAACGAGGGTCCCATTTTAGGTGCTACGGCGACCGCTGCCTTTGTGAAGCGGGCAGAGGAGGAGAAAGGCTTCCTCGAGACGCTACCCAGCAATCCTCTTGGGAGAGTCGCCAAACCGTCCGAGATTGCTTCATCAGTGGCATTCCTCCTCTCAGATGAGTCAAGCTATGTAGCCGGGGAAGTACTGGCGGTGACTGGAGGACACGCATAGAGGCGGCGAGACGGAGAGACGGACGGGGATGACCAGGTCCAGAAAGCTGCTTCCAAAAGTCCATTAACTAGGTAAAACACAATGACACAATAAAAATACTAGACCCCACGCATTTTATCCTGTATGTCGCATAACTCTGCGCAAGTGAGTGAATAATCAGCGTACAGCAACAACACCAGAGCCAAAAGCACGACGTACGTCTCCGTATAGTTCCGAACTTGTCTGTAAAGGTATTGATGTGAAACCCCCAACCCACCCAAACCTGTAAATTCGGCCCTGCAAGGCTATGCAGGTAGTATAGGGCCCGCAATGACTCAGGAACTGCCTACCTTTGTTATTCCCCATGAACTCCGGGATCCCAGAAGTCCCACCACCTCCAGGCTCGGCAGATTTCCTAGGCGAGCCAGCCAGGAGCAGGGATAGTAATCCTTTTCTGACAGTCGAGCACGAGTCAGGGTGTATGACTTGCCCGGGGGCGGGGGCAGTCATGGGCCACTTTCACCCCTCACTGGATGGATGTATGGAGATAGACACCCCTTTCTTTTTTATGTTCAAGTTATATCTCTTGTAGAACGCCGAGATCTTGGGAGTCGTGAAACCGGGCCTATTGTGGGCGTTTACAGACGAACGATTGAGGGACTCATTCCATTCTCTGACGATCTACCTTACCCCCGCCAGGTCATCCGGTCTCGAGTTGTCCAATGACAAACACAGTCTCCCTGCCCACGGGTGAGGGCGTTTATACAAAGTTGTGCGTAGTGCGTCGTGTATATTAGTGCAAAAGCATAGCAAAGCGGGAGACGATAATGTACACAGACCGAGGTATCTCTCGTGGTGGCCCGCCATGGACCAACCCGTGGCCATACCATCACGTACCAGAACATAAACCCGAGGGACAAGGGAGTTTTTTGTCTATAGTCCAGTCATACACACTTACACACACACATACACATACACATATACCATCTCCTGATATCTCTTTTTCTTTCTTAAATAGTGGGGTAGAAATCCGAGAGAGACATCTTTCTCGTCTTTGTATATAATTTCCTTGCTTGCTGGTGGATTCAGGTCGCGAGGATACCTGTATAGGACTTTCTCTTTCTCTCTCTCTCACTCCCCCTCCCCGCACGGCAAGATGATTGCAACCATTACCGACGACGACTACGAGGTCCTCGACCAGTACCACTCTCAACCCCGCAAACTCAAGATCATCCACGTCGGGGCTGGCGCTTCGGGCCTGTTGCTGGCATACAAGGCTGAGAGGCAACTCCGCAACTATGAACTGATATGCTATGAGAAGTAAGTTCCCACCAAAGTCCAGTCTTAGACACACATATCTCGAGGGGACGTATTGAATCACTATGTCCAATGGGACTGACACACTCCCCCAAAAAGAAATCCCAGCATCGGCGGCACATGGTGGGAGAACAGGTACCCCGGGTGTGCGTGCGACATCCCCGCCCACACCTACACCTACACCTTCCGCCCCAACCCGGAGTGGTCGGGCTTCTACTCGCGCTCCGACGAGATCCAGACGTACTTTGAAAAGTTCTACGAAGAGTACAAGCTGGACCGGTACGTGCGGCTGAACACCGAGGTCGTGAGCGCGACCTGGTTCGAGGACAGCGGCGAGTGTGAGTTTTGTCACCGTTCTTCTCCTTCTCTTCCCCGTATCCGAGGTCGTTTCGTGTGCTGACAAGATCCTCGCGTCTGTTGGAAAACCAGGGGAGGTTGAGCTGAAAAACGCTGATGGCACCTTCACGGACCGCTGCCACGTCCTGATCAACGGCTCCGGCGTCGTCAACAAGTGGAAGTGTGAGTTCTGCCCTGCCGCACATTGCTCGCTTCGATCCGAATGTTCCTGGAGGATCACCGTGAGCTAAAAAAATTCGCCTTGACAGGGCCGGCCATCGAGGGCATTTCGTCGTACAAGGGCATCCTCGCCCACAGCGCCAACTGGGACACGTCGATCGACTGGCAGGGCAAGAAGGTGGCCGTTCTGGGGACGGGATCGAGCTCGATTCAAATGGTGCCACATCTCGCCAAAGGTAATGATTCTGATTTCCCCTTGCCATCGATATCATCCAAGGAGGCTCCTTCGCTGACACCATCTGCTGTCGTAGGAGCTGAATCCTTGACCGTCTTTGCCCGCAACATGACCTACATCGCCCCGCAGGTCGCGTCGGATGCCCAGAAGATCGACGAGAACTCGCAGCCGGTCGCCGCGGTCGGGAAGCACTACTACATCGAGGCCGAGAAGCAGCGGTTCCGCACCGACGCCGAGTTCCACCTGCAGTACCGCAAGCGGCTCGAGTCGGCGCTGACCGAGATGTTCCCCATGTTCCTGCGCGGGACCAAGCTGAACGTGCAGGCGCGCGAGTCGATGCGGGCGAGCATGCTGGCCAAGATCGGCGAGGGCCACGACGAGCTCAAGCAGCGCTTCATCCCGCAGTGGTCGCCGGGCTGTCGTCGCTTGACCCCGGGCGAGGGCTACCTCGAGACGCTGGTCCAGGACCACGTGCGCGTCGTGCACGAGGAGATTGTGCGCTTCACCGAGACGGGCCTCGTCACCGCCAGCGGCGAGCAGCTCGAGTTTGACCTGATCGCGTGCGCCACGGGCTTTGACATTGCCTACACGCCGCACTTTCGCATCACGGGCGTCGACGGCGCCGTCATGCAGGACGAGTGGAAGGAGACGCCCAACATCTACCTCAGCATCGCCGCGCCAAAGTTTCCCAACTACTTTGTGGTGAATGGGCCGACGGGGAACTGGGGCCAGGGATGTGCCCTGCCTTCGGTAAGATTTGCTCCTCTCCCTCTTGTTCTTAGTCCCCTCGTCCGTCTTTGAAGCCCAGTGATTCAGTATTTCTAACCGTCCTGTCGGGTTCGCAACAGCACGAAGTCCAACTCGAATACGCCATCCAATGCTGCCGCAAGATGCAAGAAGAAGGCATCCGGGCCATGGAACCGCGCCAGGGTCCCACCACCCAGATAAACCGCCACCTGGACGCGTGGCACAAAAAGTACAGCGTCTGGGCCGAGGACTGCCGCTCGTGGTACAAGGACAACAAGCCCGACGGCCGCGTCTACATCTGGCCGGGGAGCCTGCTGCACCACCTCAAGACGCTGCGCGTCCCGCGCTACGAGCACTACGACCTGCGGTACGACGACCCGGACAATATCTGGGCGTTTTTGGGCAACGGGCGCACCGATCTCGAGGTCGCGCACGACCAGGGCCAGAGCGTCGATTTGGCCCCGTATATTCGCAATGACGATACGCCGTGGTCGTTGGATTTGCCTTTGTCCGTGCCTTTGCCGGTGGCGGCGGAGGAGGAGGAGGAGGAGACAGAGAAGGCGAAGGATGCCGCGGTGGTTCAATAAGTAGTGACATGATGTGACGTTGTAGATGGAGAAAGTGAGCTGGAAACTGGTAGATTCTTGATTACAGACATATTCTGATGTTACTTGTTGCTGCTTCTTTGTCACATTGTAGATAAGGTCCCTTTTCTTCCCATTACCTCAACCCAAAACCTGAAACCTGTGATTTTCAGACATTCATCTTTCGTGGGTGTAGGTCATCATGAGTGATTGGCGACGGAGATATGCTCGTCCCGAATGTGCCTTGTGTTGTGTTGTGGTATGTCGTTCTTGTATTGCCATCTTTCGTGGTTGACATTGCAGTCAAGTCTGATAATGAAGAGTGTCTATGTGTGAGAGCGGGAAGATATGTTGGATATAAGTGGTACATAAGATGAACCAATAGTCAGTTTCATTCAGATATCCTCCTAGAACATGTCCGATCGATGGTCGATAAATCTGCCCCGTGCCCTTACTTGACCGATCCTTGAACCGCACGTGAACCTGAGCCCACTTGGAGCACCTGGGGCACCATTGCTTGGTGCTTGGTGCTTGGTGCTTTTGTAACCCTAGGCGGCCAAACAGCTACGATACCAACTCATGGCCACGTCGTCCAAGGGCCGCGGCACGGACCAGGGAATCCTGTTGCGCGACCGCAGGGGCACACCCTGGGCGATCTTGACGCTCGGCTCGTACAGGTGCGGGTACTTGGCAAACAGGTCCGGATCGAGCAGGTACTCCTCGAGGCCCTGGCCGATCTTGAGCCGGCGGTACAGCTCGTGCGCGTACTCTTTGGTGTGGAGCAGCGTGTAAAGGTCCGGGGCGGGCAGTTTGACGGCGGGCTTGGGCCCGATCAGGGCGGTGGAGGTGGAGTTGGAGTTGTTGGCGTTGGCGTTATCGGCGTCGCTCAGAATCGCCGGGTTTGTTTCCATGCCGGAGATGATGTCGTGGATGTTAAAGTACACGACGAGGGGTTCCGCGCCGAGCACGAACTCGGACAGGTCCGCCTGCACGACGTATGCCAGGCCAATGTCGCCGCAGATCTCGTCCAGCGCCGGGTCGGCGCAGTGGTACTGGATCAACTTGTCCCTCAGAAAGGGGAAGACGCACCAGTCGATGACGGGCGGATGTGGCACCGAGGTCTGCAGCGGCGTGGGCTGCATCGAGGGTGGAATTGCTGCAAATGTTTCGGGCCCGGGCGATATCCGCCACGCGGCCAGTTTGGTGAGCGTTTCCTGTCCGTTGGTCCATTGAATCCAGGATTCCATGCGGCACCAGGCGACCTTGATAAAGGCCGAGACGAGACTCGATACCATGCGATTGAGACTAGTTGCGGTGGCTCTTTGTCAGAAACGCTTGACTCCAAAAGGCCCGTGAGGGTGGTGGTGGTGGGGATTTCAAACACGTACCTGAATATATCCGGGTTCCGTCTGTGCCCTAGGTACCGAGTGACTGCGCACATCTCATACGCGTGGATATGTTCCGAGTAGTTGGACCGTGGCATGATCTGCAGGTTGCGATAGATGGGGGCATGAATCGAGGGTGGAGGGGGAGTACGTCGCACGGTTGGTGCAGCTGGAGGCGGTGTCGTGGTCGACAAGGCCAAAACCCCCGCGTCGGCGTCCCAGTCGATGTCCTCCGGCAAGGACCCGTCGTTTGACGAGACCGTAGTGTGAGCGTGCCGGTCTGCTGCATACATTTCAGTGGCGGACATTTCGGTGCATGATGAGACGCCAGAGCCTGGAGCCGGGCAAGCCCTGGGATTCAATACCATGTTGAGTGGCGGGGCTGGCGGTGCTTCGACGTCGACAAGGCCAGCAGGCATGTTGAGGTCGGCCGTCCACGAATGCAGTCCTTCATCGTCGTCGTCGAGGCCACTCCCACTAGTATGTGCGTCCTATGAAGAAATGTTTCATCAGCCTCGATCAGACATGGAATGACCAGTCGATTGCTGATGGACATCATCCAAACCAGAACTTACAAAGTTGTTCTCCCTACTCTCGATCATGGTATCGATGATGCCCTTCAACGTGGCCTGGAGACTCCGCAGCTTCTTCTCCGACTGCCATAGCAGCTGTTTGAGTTTGCGGTTCTCTTCCACGAGTCTGCTGTTGCGATCACTCTCGGAACCCGAGAACAGGGCGAGCTGCTGCTTGAGCTCGTTGATTTCTAGTGTCTGCCGCGCCCGAAAGGCTTGCTGAGACAGTCGGTTCCGCAGTTTCCTGCCACCAGCGACAACGTGTCATTGATAAGTTTACCTACCACCACCACCGGCAAAAGATCCAATAGGTAAAGGCACTTACCGTCTTTCTGTCGCAGCGCTTGACCTCTTCCGCGTTCCGGCGGCAGCAGCAGCAGCAGTAGTGCCGCCGTCCGACTCCTTTAGTGAAGCCATGTAAACTCCGTCAAAGCTCTAGTAAGTGATGAGTGGGTTTCTTTTCTTGTTTTTGTGTAGTGAGAAAAGTCTTTGAGAGCTAAGGAACCGCAGGCCTGGACGTTAGAGAGAAAAACACCCGCATTCCCGAACGCGGGGATTTGCGGAGATGGAGACGGACACGACGGAATCTGTCCAACTTGTACTACTTGTAGGCAAAGCGAATCACATGCTTGAACCTCGGTTGACCGCTTCCGAACTTCTCATTTAGGTTAGTGCGCCTGAAGCATAACGAGTCGTGCTCTTAAGAGCAGCCAGATTTGTATCCTGACTCGACATTGAATATCAGGCCTTCTGCAGAAGCACCAGAGGGACAGTTGCAAAGTTCAAGTGAAACCCCAAACCAACAAAAGACAATTCTAATCATGTTCTCTTTTGGGTAATAGGTTCAATTGTGAGCGATCGGCTGGTGCATATTGTAAAAAGGGTAGCTGACGATCCGACAACTTTGTGGCCAGAAATCACATTCACATGAATGCCATATTGCGAATGCCATGGGACCCGGAGATTGCGGATCCAAGGACGGGACATCATGGACGCCATTGCAAAGTATAAAGCTTCCCCAATCTCCAACGAAGGCAAATGAAGGTGATATGGCCACCGGCTAATCACTTGCACCTTACCTGACTCATTAACCTGCAGAGATCTCCCTCAGACCGGAGCTTTGGGAGCATCCTCAAAGCTTCGTGACTCTGTAAAGGTAATCGGTGTCGTCCGATCATCACTGCTGCTTCGAGTAGTAAGTGTTGGGACAGGGCCACCAGGGCGGTCCATGAAAAAAGAATCCCGTAAAGGCATCAAGGTTCAGTACGTCTCAGAATGAGAGTTGCACTTTCTCTTGAACTCGATCCGATGTTGGTTTGGACATGGATGGCACCCCTGGTTCTTATTCCCTGCGCTTCCCACGGCTTTTCTTCCTGCTGCGGTTTTGTCTCGGATGAGTGGAAGTCCGGCGGCAAGGCAGGTAGCTTTGGTGGTAAACAGCGTCCCCCTGTAACTGCGGACATGAGGCTTGCCCTGTCCTGCCTGCCTGCCTGCCTCAGGCTCCAACGGAAACCAGAGCCAAAAGCAAACCCTCGTAACGCCGCACAAGGATGCCTCGCCACAGCAGAACAAAAAACTTGAACTCTGAGATTGTATGACGAAATGGTAAACAGATCCGGATCGGTTGAGAATACCATAAATTGAAAAGCTGGCATGGATGCATGGATGCATGGGGTTGTTTGTCTCTGATGTCGATGGTTGACATCAACCGAACCAGTTTCGGGCAAATGGTCCGCAGCGATAGTGGCGTCATCATTCGTCACACACTGAAACCTGGACTGGAAGTGGCTGGAGGCTGTGGCGGTGCTCGCGGCTGGCATGTGATCACGGAGTATCCTCGGCTCGCCATTTGAGGGGCACAGGCTGTGGCTGAAGTGGCTGAGACCCCTACAAAATTGCACATGCAAGGCACTTTGCGGCATTCCGCGTGTCCTTGTACAAGTACCCAGTACCCAGTAGACTGTTTGCTGTCTGCTGTCTGCTGCCGCTGGTACCTAGAGTACCTAGCCTCTACCACCGTAGCAGTCAGTAAAGCCAAAAAAACAAACAAACAGATACTTCTCACCTCCAGTGTTCCATCTTCCCCCCCTCCCAATAAAAATTCTGACCCAGATCGGGTAGTCCAGTCCACTCCTCTGCAGTAGTACCCGGGATGCTTACCAGAGGGTAATTTGCCATGTGGTAATTGAGCGGCCCGATCCCCCTGCATCTTCCTACCTGACACTGACACTGGAACTGGCACTGGCGCTCGTTACATCCCCTCCCTCCACTTTCTCCCACTCTCTCACTCCCACTCACCCCCCCTCTCTCTCGGATTACTACCCATCTGTGGTTATCCGTCCATGAGGTATTCGTAGGTAGGTGAGTCATGGAGAACCGCAGAAGCAACGCTGACAATTCCGGGTGTCACATTGCCCATGGCGGTGACGATGGGGGTGACAGGGAACCCCCAATCTCGAAGCACACACAATCATTCGCACGGCGGTTGTTCCCTAACAAGCAAGGATTCTGAAGTCGTCGGGAGAGGAAAGAAAGAATCTCGGGGTTATTGGGTACCGAAGGCATGAGGGGACCTACGAGTATCGGCCAGCACAGCAGCAACTTCACTAAGTATCCTCCCTGCTACTACTGGTGCCACCTGCCCACTACCCACTAAGAATACCCCCATCGCCATCTGCATGCGCATGTAATAATAATAATAATAATTCATACATACTGCAAGAAAGCAAGGCCTCCAAACAGAAGTACGGCATTTGTGTAACCCCCCAGCTTACGAGTCCCTTGTACCTCGTAGAGAGTTTCAATACCCGAAAGCCGGACATTTGGCCACATTTGGGGGGCGTTGAAGAAAATACACCGTAACTCTCTTCCTCAGCCAAGAGACTCGAGAAGAGCTGAATTACCCCAAGCACTCTGAAGGGTTTGCCGAAGTTCGGCAGAACTCCGTACGCACTCCCTATGTAGACGATGTGATTGGACCTTGGGCTGAGTGGGTGCTTGGGACAACTCGGAAAGTCTGTTTGAGGGGAATACCCGATCCTCGGAACCGAAACCATTTTTGTGTGCGAGAGGAAGAAAGGGAAAAAATCTGCAAAGCCACGGATCGCCGTAGAAGTTTACCCAAGCAAAGCTGAAACGGTTTTCTTTTCTTTGCCAAACAGCAGCAGCAGCCAGAAAAGAAAACCATGGGCATGACGGTCACCCGATCTATCCGTCTAACATGCTTTTTCTTCGTCCTCTTTGTTTGCTTCCACTGAGCTTGGGGAGGGGAGAGGGAAATGGAGAAAAGGGGAATTGGTGAGACAGTTAGAACTGGATGGCTCTTTGATGAGTCAAGACACCTCCAAGTCCTCGCTTTGCTGGAACTGGTTGGAAACCCGAGTACCTACCGAAGAATAAACGAGTGGTGACGGTTGTACCTCGTATTCCGGACGTACAGTAGAAATGCACCAGTAATCAGCCTGAAACCCCAAGCAAACAACAGGTTAGGAGTTGCCCTCCGAATGATCGAAGGCGACGGTCGCCCTGAGTATGCACCGCCCACAGACGCTGCTGGTTGATTCTACAAGTCCTGCTCCTTGATACACGGGAACACCGTCTCGACATAATCACCCAAAGTCCCGTGAAGGTCTCGAGAAACCATCATGTGAAAGTGGGTAGCGTGGTAGCATCTTCTTCCCAGCCCTCGGCTGTTGTCGGCGGATTTGTTTTCCCCAGGATTGATCGGCGGATTCTTTTCCTCCGGGAGTTGTACCGGACACGACGGAGGTACCCTAGTAGAAGAGAAAGTTGCATGGCCTGGTCCCCTCTCATGTCGTGTCTGCCTGCATAGACGTTGGAAACGGTGTGTAGATGCCCAGATATGCTTTGGACGCGTCGCACAAAAATCCCATGGTGTAGGTCGAGCGTGATAGCGGTGTGTTGTTTAGAGGGTTCAACCTGGGTTCGTTCCCTCACTGTTGGCCCCAAGAGATCAACCGGGCATAGCAGAGATCAGCACCAGCATCGAGATCTCTTGAATCCTTCAGAATGTGTCCAAGGCACTCAGCAATGACACCCCGAAGCTTCACCACTGCGCTCAACGCGTGTCGTCTGAGGTTAATGAGTCATCCATGGGCACAGCCACTCCTTCAGGTAGAACACCAGGAAACGGAACAAATTCATGTCTTGAGTAATAGATATATTAAGCTAATAATACTAAGCTAGAGGAACTCTGCACCTGCGAGGTTCCTCAAGGGGTAAAGAGGGAGTCATCCAATGGACTCGACCATATTCATATCGTATCCAATCAGCCATGTAGGCGGGGGTATCGTAGACCGTGTCCCATAGTCAAGATATGCAAAACAACTGTCCGAAATGAGGCCAGTATGAAGCCGCTCACTAAAAAAACACTGCGCTTGCTAGACAAAAAAACATGGATGGTGTAGTCAGGGCCAGCCCGAGACAACTTGTCCTCATTGAGGGCCGTTCAAACAGCTGGTGCCACGTCGTTGCATGGTCTGACGTCTCTTGAGCGCGCTGGCGCTGGGTCGTCGAGACTTGCTGGCGCTATTGCTGTCCGGGTTGGCGAAGCGCACGACTCTGCGCTTTGCGTCGGCATCCCGTGCATAGTGAGCTGCTGCCTGGGGGAGGTTGGACGCAGCCTCTTTCTCTTGGAGTTCTCGGAGGAAGGCGATTTGCTCCTCGGTGGTCAGCTCCTTCTTGGGTGCCAGTGCCGGGATGGTCTCCACCGGCAGGCTGAGGTCTTCGGCAGGACAGAGCAAGTCATCGTCGGAGAGGTATGAGTTGGGCTCAGCGCCGAACGATGACATGCATGATCGGTAGGGACTAGGCATCCAGGTTGAATTGCTGCTGTCGCGGCGCATGGCGATGGACTGTGTTTGTGATGAAGAGGTTGAGTTGGATGCGGTGCTGTCTGTTCGTGCCAGTGCTTGAGAACTGGGCCACGCCGAAGTGGGTGACGCGCACACCAGTGCCGTGTAGGCAGAAGTAGGCGCGTACGAGTAGGTGTTGGACGTGGTGGAGTCACGCGAGTCTGAACGCGACATAGCCACCGATGTCATGGCTGGAGTAATGTTGGAGGTGGGCGACGAGAAGAACATTTTGCTGTCTGTGCGAGGTTGGAAGGGACGACGATGTTGATGCAAGACGCGACGGGGGTGTCGAGTTTGATATACAAGCACAGAGTTTGGGGGGCCCGTGATGTTATTATGATGGGGTTTGCTGGTGGTCGCCAGATCCGGGATTCGGGTTCCCAGTTGCGGGAGTGTGGCAACGGATGGATGGGCTGGTTGCGGGTGGTGATGCAATGCGCGAGTAATATGTTTGCGTCGAGTCAATCCCACGGATCAGGATCGGCTAAACGACCTGGAGTTCAGGAGAAGGCCGGAGAACGGTGACTCGGCGTGATGGGGTTTGTGATCGGTCGACTTGCCGCTGTTGCTCGTCTCGGTGGTTGGCCCGATTCGGTGAGCGTGGATGTTGATGGAATCCCAGTGGCTAATATATGCCTCGTCCAGGGCGGCTGTGCTGGGTGCCAGGTTGCGAGAAGGTCCTGTTGCGAGTATGTCCTCTTCTGCGGAAGTGTTTTGAAGATCAAATGGGAAGAGGGGGGGAATAATCCTCGTTATTAATGTTTGTTCCTGGGCGCGAGGGCGGTAGAAGTAAATTAGTCCGTATCACTGTTTTGCCCCTTCCCCGTGCCCTTTTTTTCCCTTGTTTTTTCCTTTTGGGCTATGGATGGAGAATGGCGAAAACCCGATGGAGCGGTGCGACCTCGGACCTAGGACGGGAAAAGAAGACAAAACCAGGGTTCGGAGAATGGCCCCCTTGGGTCGTATGGGTCGTACTTGGTAGCGTTTGCTGCGACCGGGTTGTGGGGGGGTGGGAGAGCAAGCGGCAAAAAGTTTGTCGCTTTTTGGCACCGTGTTGATTCTGTGAGAATTCCGCGAGAGGCTAGCGAATTCGCGTCTGAGTGGCTGGTTTCAGACAGGTCGGAATGAGCGGACCGTTGAAGTAATGGGACGCAGGGGGTTTTCGATAGCGATGTTCGATGGTTGATAGTGTGTGATGCGGTACCGAAGGGACCTCAGAGTTTCGGTGATGGTGATCAAAGGGTGAGTGTTGCTGAGTTTGAAAAGGGTAGTCAAGGACAAGTAGGCAGACGTGGCAGGAAGAGAGCATTATAACAGCAAAGCCTGTCTTGCCCGTCAACAACCAGGAAGAAAAGGCAAAACCCCCAAATAGGATTGATTTGTTGTCCTTGTCCGCAGCGCTGACTGTCGGTCAGTAGACCGCCTGAATAAGGGTTGGATTCTGATTGTTGTGTGAAGGGTGAATGTGACACCGAGCGCAGTCGAGCCCCTTCAGCCAGGCAACCGAGGGCGAGTGATGAGCTAGGCTCGAGGCGCAAGCCACGGGGGTTAAACGAAAAGCGTCGAATGGGAGGATCGCAAACGAGACCATGAACGTGGGTTGGACGAGAATCTGTGTCTTGGAAGCTGAAGACGGAAGACGGGGGAGTGAATCAAATTGGAGCAAAAGGATTTGGCGGTGACAAGGCGGTGACAGGGGCCTACGAGTAATACTGGTTGGGTGGCCGTGCGGGTGCAGCGGGTTCAGCGGGCTCACGGAATGGGGGAAGGGGAAGACTCAGTGCTTCAAAGCCTAGAGGAGCCGAGATCTGTCCCGATGAAAATCCCTAGGTTGAGCCTGGTGAGCCCCGTTTGCAAGGCCCTTTGAGGCCCGTGGACCCCCTACAAAGGACTTTGGTAGGTAGAGTTCCAGGCTTCCAGGCGTGTGGTCTTTCCCCCTAGGTAGAGTACCCCACGCCCGTTGCACCCAGTGCCCAAGACCCAGTGCCTGACTCGCCAACGAACAAGTCAATAAGGGGGGTCACAGCTGCCCCCTTCCCCCCTCCACCCCGGCTAAAAGAGCATCTTCGGGCCAGTACCACGCGACAAATGCCTGGCCAGGTCGAGATTCGTCCGGGTGGAACATGTCTGGTTCCTCCTATCATCACACAGAGATGCTAATTCAGGAAGTCAATTTGCGACAACCGGCAATAAAGTGATAGTGATGGAGGAGATGGGCCAAGAAGGAATCCCACGGCGATCACGACAACGACTCGTTACACGTAGGTATGAACGAGTAGGTCTCGTCGCTGTCAGACGGACTTTGTTGTCAACATTCTCTCTTGCGAACTAGCCAAAAATGAAGCAAAAGGTGAACTACCAACAAAAGTGCGATGACTCAGGCACACATTTGGGACCATTTTGTATGGTGGTCGGTGATGGTATACTGGTAGTATAATGCCGCATTCGGACATCCGTTGATGATGGTGGTGATGGTTGCAAACAGGGATTGGGTCATCCTTTGTGCTATGTGTGTACAAACGTACTACTTATTATTGTTCGACTGAGTACAGTAGATGCTGATATGCTGCTGATACCGGCCCCGGGTGATACAAGGCGCAGGCATTCTATACTCGTCACCTTGTATCACCCACACCAACACCAAACCCCCAAAATTAGTTCTGTCAAGTCATTATTATTATCATTACCATTATGACGATCACAGCCTCTGTCATCTCTTCTAGACCCTTGGTGTCCCCTGAGTAAGAAGTTGTCCATTAATTATTTGCTGGCAGTGGCCGGAAACGATTACTTCAGCAGACAGCGACCCTAGCCATGCTGCCATGTCTCTCCAAGCTTTGGAATTGCTGGATGCGGAAGGACCTCGACATCTCATAATAATATATCCAAGTAGAAAGGGCCGAGAACATGGTTGAACCGGCCTTGTTCTCCGTGTCGGTTGTTTAGTATGAGTAAGGCTTGATTATTCTCCCAGAGATGAGTGCTTGGGCCATGACGTTGGTGGTTGCTCTTTCTCGTATTTGCTTCATCCCACGCTGCCTGCTGTTTTCCTGCTCTTGTTCATTATTCTTCACATTACGAGATACAGACAGAGTCGGTGGGATCCTTTTCATGTCTCCCTCCCATTATGATCCCTCGGCAGATACAACTCTCCTAGTCAATAGCCAACACATCAAGGGAATAATATCTGACTGACTCACTCCAGGCATTCTCCAACTCTGGGGGTGAGGCACACCTCAAAGTTGCTGCCCAACTCGTCCACCCGAATAGCACCTAAAACCTACCTACTCTAGGGCCAGCCACTCACCGGTACCGCCCAAACCTCCTAGTCGGTCGTTTCCGGGCGCCAGAAAATGAAGCTGGGACTTAACTAAAGAGAAGGGTTTCGCGGGCAGGGCGGGGCTAGCTAGTAGTGGGTGCGGTGCGTGGGCGCTTCTCGTGGGCCAGGCGACGAAACTTCCCACGAATTCGTAACCTCAAACGCCTCGGGGAGAGAGGGATGTGGATGCCTGAGGAAGAGGTGTGCAGCAACCGAAATTGTTACTGCCTGAGATATCACGGATGGGTATACGAGGAACAGAAGAATCAAGATGAGCGCGGAACCGACCAACTGCCGGGTTGGGGGTGGTTGTCGATGGATTGCCGCGCCTCATTTGGCTTCGCAATGTCTCTCTCGGTACCATCTGCGAAACCCGAAGTTTACACGCAATCTGCTACTCCGTACTACTCGTACTCCTCCACACCCACCAGATCGGCAAGGCTTTCGTTATAGGTACAAACCATTGGGGAAGCATCGAGGTTCCCCGAGTCTAGCCCCAAGTACCTCTACACCAAAATTTTGCTGGCGAGGTACATTCACCGCCCCCTGGAAATACCTCGGCGAGCCCCGAGCCACATGTCGCAATTTTCCTGTGATTTCTTTTTCTTCCTCTTCTTCCTTTTGCCTCTCGTATGGGGTTTCTTCTTCACTGTAACATTTTCACTCGAGTCCACACTATCGGCTCCCCCTCCCCGTGATGGCACCATGGGCACATGCAGATGCCGGTCAGAGGAGGCCAATCTTCCAGAAGGATTTTGGAATGTCACTATTTGTACCCAAAGTCGTTGCAACGACACGACGGGGAACGACAATGGTGGATTAACGGCGCAGAGCAATAAAACCCACCTCTTGAACGACGAACCCCATTCAGCCTCCTGGGTAAAGTCCCCATACTCTAACAAAACAACCAAAGGGCCCCTTGACCCATAAGCCGGTGGTACTAAAATGCCACCAGCGCCACCACTCATCCCCCGTCAGATCCATCACAAACCCGGTTAGATACTCCACAGCTCGTCGTTGACGGGACCCATCCTGCCCGGCTCTTTGGGAAAGATGGATTGCGTGCCCACTCAATATCGAATCTCGTTTGTTGTCCAATCAACATCTGCACTCTTGTCCTCGAGGCTTCCGAGGCTTCGTCGTGAGGGGCCCGGTTCCGAATTTTCCTCATTCCGACAAAGTTTTGAAGGCTGGAAGTTCCCGATATTATTAGTTCGGATTCTAGGGGACTTGCTCGTCGTTGACACCGAGGTGCCGGACGGCATTGCTCTTCCAAAAAGCCCAGGTCCAGCTCTTCTTACCTCGATTGCGAGTATTCACAGCCTGGTCCGTTGTCCGCGTTTGCCCAGACGGTCACATCCCGCACTGAGTTTTGCACCAATGCACACTGTTTGATCAGCCGTAATCAACACGGCATATGTGCCGCGAGTTGAACCGTTAGGCAAGCTTGGACCCTGGGACACACACACACACACACATGGCCCAAGACGAATACGAGGTGGGTTCGCATGGCAAAGGCAAAATATAGCCAGACGACCGAATGGAGAAAACCCTTTTCGGTGTTACTCAGGCTGACCGTGTCGCCGTGTCGCAATTGCCCCGTCTGGTTGCCGTCAGCCAGTGCGCAACGCGGCTCGGTACCGAAGAACAGGTGTCGATGACCATTCCGACTTTGAATCACGCTTTTGCACCCCGGACAGCAATTGCGAGGGTGACACATGGTGCGCATGCAGCCCATGTTTGTCAGATATGCAGGGTTTGGGGGCATTACACATGGTCCAACATGACTTGACGCGACAGCCCTGCGAGGTGCAGCTGACAGTGGCACGAGCTGAGCTGAGCCTCGTTTGCCAGCCTGTCGGCAAGCATGTGACGGTATACGACTCTGACTTGCAGCAACAACAGCAGC